TTAGTCTTTAAAGTGCTGCATAGTCCTGTCTTTTGTTTCAGCAAGACCAGACTAACATGGCTACATCTCTATTACTATTCTACAAACCCTTGGGTGCTTCTGAAATTTCCCAAATAATAGCTGGTGTTTTGTTAGTTCACTTTGCAAACACTCCACCTTTCTTTTGAGCTATTCACTAGAAGGGTCTTTTCTAGCACTAGTCAGTGTGGGGATAGGACTATAAGTAAGGAAAGTACCTGGATAAGAAACTAGAAACTTCACACTGTTCCTCTCATAGAACTTTCCTTGGTCAACTTTCCTAGCTAGACCAAGGATTGTAGCAGAACCAGGGGAGAAAGCAGAGCCTAATCCACACCATTGGTGAGCTTTGCATCAAATCCTTACTCTCCAGAAACAGCAATGCCCCTGTACTTCTAAGAAGTACTCCTTGCTAAAGCCTCCAGGGGACGGGGGGATCACTGAGCTGTAAAAGGGAACCCAGCATTAGTTTACCAAATGAAGAGAAGCAGAGGCAAAGATGTGGGGGAGAAATTCTATAGGGCAGAATCAATTTAGTCTCAACCCCACAAGCCAACTCATCCAAATCATACAGTGGGCATAGGTCTACACCATCTAAGGTGCGGCTGGAGCTTGGGCAGACATATCCATGCTAGCATTGCTAAGAATAATGGTGTAGATGCAGCAGGGTGGTCTTCAGCTGTGCAAGTAGGTACCCAAGGGAGTAGGTGGGCTTGTGAAACTGCACTGAAGCCTTCACAATTGCATCTAAACTTTTATTTTTTCCATTGCCAGCATAGATATGTCTGCCGAAGCTTTCTCACACTCCCTGGGATTGCAGGTTTGACCTGTCCTGAAACATTAGACGAATAGAAGCAAAGAGCATTTTGGAAGCAAAAATCCCTCTTTTTGCAAGTTCCTCCCCCTCATCCCTAATCTACTGGAATACAGGGAGTGTAGGAACTCATAAATCCTCTTCTTAGGCACTCTGTAATTCAGAATGTTCAAAACCCAAGAGAGCCCCTGTGGTCATCTAGTGTGACCTCCTGTATAACATGTACTATAGAAATTCCCCAAAATCATTCCTAGAGCAGATTTTTTAGAAAAACCTCCAAACTTGATTTAAAAATGGTCAGTGACAGAGACTTCGCCACAACCCTTGATATATTGTTGCAATTGCTTAATTATTTTCAGAATTGAGGCCTCAGTTCAGTCTGAATTTGTTTCACTTTCCAATCATTGAACAAAACTCTGTTCCTCTGAAGAAGTGGGCTGTGCCCACGAAAGCTCATGATACATCTACATGTTTTGCTAGTCTATAAAGTGCTACCAGACCATTTGTTGGAACATATTTGTCTGTTAAATTGAAAAACCCCACTATTGAATATTTGTTTCTCATATAGGTACTTAGAGCTTGTAATAAAATTGCCATTAACCATCACTTTATTAAGCTAAGTAATACCATTATTAAATAATAGTAATATGCAGTGGATTTTTATTATGATAATATGTACATCAAAATAAAAAGCTATGGCATATTACTATTTAATAGCTGTATATTATATACATATATAATTAAATAGTAATATGCAATAGCTTTTCCATTTTGATATACATATTATATGTATGGATGTATTTATGTACTAAGAACATGAGTCAAAAATCAGCACTCTCAATCCTACCTCTTTCAGTTAAAGAGATGAAAAATCAGCCCCTGATTTACTTGTTATCTGGAAGTCTGCTCTGAAGGAAATTAACATAAACTGGAAAATGTCATTTTCATTGTAAAGAAAATTGAAAAAGATGACTGTCTGTTGCAGCGCATAGGAAAGACATGTAGACTCATTTCTGTTTAAATTATAAATCCATACATTTTTTAGCTTGGAAATGTACACAGACTTATCTTGGAATGCATATGTAAGCTTCTGAATTCTTAAATTAAATCGTTTTAAGAACATAGCGATCAGCTTTGTCTTCTATTTAATAACAACGCCCATACAAGAAAAAGAATTCTATGAGTGAAATAACAAAACACAGTACATTTCTACATAAGTTCCTGACATGGAGAGCAGTCAGTCCCTTCTAATAGCAGCGCACAGCTTGATTCACAGGTGAGCTGCTTGACAAATGGCTTTCCACCTTTCAAGCCTAGTGTACCCCTTTCAGGAGCCTGATTTCTCTTGTGTACCTCAAGTTTCAACTCACTTAAAAACTGCTTCAGAATTTGTTTCTCGGACACCACCCAGCCCCTGCTCCATTATCACCAAAGGAGTTTCTTCCCATCAGCGTTTGGGAGATTGAGGCAGAATAAATGGCAGTTTTTGAAACTGTGTCACCTGCAGCGCAATGTCTCAGCACTGAAGAATTCCCTCTCCCATTCCTTAACCCATGCTGGGGTAACCCAATGCCCTAGTAACCCGCTGAGATTTGTTTTTAGGATTATTTTTAAAATGGTGTTTCCAGACAACTGATAAAAGAAGTAGGAATGTATTGGAAGGTACTTGAGCAAGCAAACATCACTGGGGAACCATTCCAGTTGTTATTTATGCATTTGTATTACAGTAACACCTAGGAATCCCAATTGAGATCAGGTCTTATTGTGCAGGATGCTGTACACACTCATGGGGACAGTTCCTTGCCCTCGAGACTACAATCTAAACAGACAAGACGAACACAGGAAGGACTGCTACCCCTATTGTGCAGATAGGAAATTGAGGCCCAGAGAAATTAAGTGATTTACTGAAGGTGGCATTTTGTTCCTCCCACCCCCGAGCTAGAACCAGCCCACAAGCAGCCAGCCAGAGAATTCCCCTGTCATGGGCACCCTGCCCCCTTTCCCCACCATTCCTCTGAGCTCTATGCTGTCCCGACTACATATGGGAGGCAAGAAGTCTAGGACAGAGAGATGAACAGAGAGCTCCTACTGCTGTACCTGCAGGGCCGTCCTTCATCTCTGTGTAAAAACACATTTCCAGGAATAAGTATGAACTTCAGTGTATTCAGTATGAATACACTGAAAGGCAGTCAATCTATTTGATCCATTGCTAAAGTCTACAACTAAAAGAAGCCCACACTATACATGGGTGGTACACATTTCTGCGCCTATAATCATTTGCATGTGCAACAGTCTGAAAAGGAGGCCAGACTGAGGCTCCTTTAAAAATATGGCCCTTTATGCCTAAATTTAGGGAACACTTAATATAACATTGCCTAAAGGCTAAAGTAGCAAAGTAACAGGGTTGATACTTTGGTCTCTAGTCCTTTAACCTTCTCTTTACCCTTCTCTTCCAATACGGAGACCAGCGTGTAATTCGTACAGTGGAGTGCCCCAAGGGTCTGTTACAGGCCTGGTTTTGTTCACCATTTGTTGCACCCTCAGCAAGTTTGCGGATGACTCTAAGCTAGGGGGAGAGGTAGATACACTGGAGGGCAGAGATAGGGTCCAGAGTGACCTACACAAATTGGAGGATTGGGCCAAAATAAATCTGATGAGGTTCAACAAGGTCAAGGGCTGACTGCTGGGCAATTGCCTCCTTACCCTCCCCTGTCAGTGGGCCTGAGTCTGAGATGCCAGTTTTATTGTGGTATTGTGTATTGTGTACCAGCTGTACTGTGTTCGCTGCACGCACTCAGGAGTAATGCTCACAGCCCATTTACTCTGCTTTTGCACAGGTGATGTGAATTGTGAATTACTAGAAATGGTTTTGCTGCAGGCATTTCTAACGAACCCATGGTAACAGAATTAATTAATTACAATGTGCTTTGTGATCCACTTGTCATGCAGCTAGAAGCCAGCTGTTTCTGAAATCCCCTATACCATGTGAAAAACAAATAAAGAAGATTTGGGGAGGGGGAAGACAAAAAGACACCACCAGCAACTACTTGAGCTTGTAATGGGGAGTCAAAATATATGAAGCAGGGTGAAAAACAAAAAAAAATGGATTCTATACGTGGGTGTGTGCTGCATGTGCACTCATGCAGCAGTTGATGTTCTATAATAAAAGTTTTAGCAGCAAGAGTTTGGTCTGACAGTATTATCGCAAATTGTGTAGCCGGAGATGCTTTATCCATTTCATTACAAATTCATGTTTATTAAAACCTTTACGCCAAACTTCACTATCATGTTTTCTATAAATACCAAATAGAATATGGAAAATTTATTGTAGACATATTTTTAAATATATAAAATATTAAGACTGGATTTTTATATTCTTCTGTCAATAAAATCAGGAAACTCTTTCAACTATGTGTCCAACTCTATAAGACTTAGAGGGAAAGAACCACTGTAAATTGTAAAGTAAAACAACATTACTCAAAGCACTATTTTCTGTGGTATAAATTGTATCTCTAATGTCTCTGTATCACCCAAGATTAGAAACAAATGTTGTGTGTCCCATTGGCAGCCTTAAAGAATTTCAAAGTATTTGATATTAAATAGGAAGCAAGACTTGAATAATGACTTTTCAGTCCAGAATAAATTTTAAAGAAAATTCTACATTTTGGGTCAGATAGAACACCTGTTTTAATAAGATCTTGATATAACATATCAAACTTTTCATCATTTTGTGCAAGCTCCTAAATTATACCCCAAGGGTTCATTTCTGTCAGCCTGCTTTTTCTGAGGGGTAAGATTACATAGTCTAGAAAACAAATCTGTTCAGAGTGTTGAGAGAGAGTCTGTATCTGAAATTTTCTCCTCAGACTGATAATGCTACAGCATCTGTTCTTAATATAGCTTTTACAATCTCTGTTTACTGCATCAAGGTGTGGAGGAGGTTGCTACATAGTTATGATAACCAAGGGATTGCATCTGTAGAGAAAGTTTCCATTATGTTAAAGTCTCTTATTTCCCTCTGACTTACATCTGCAGAGCACTGAATCAGACCAGGTGCCTTTAGGGATTCCCAGCTCTGGCAAACCAAGCTGGGCTGTATAACATCAATTTTTTTAATGCTCTCTGGATATCCTTTCTTTAAAGGAATGGCTCCTTTGTGTTTTAACAGATGCTATGCTCTTGGTAGCGGAGAGATTAGAGGGACCATTCAACATTGAATCAGTCATGGAGCCTATCGATGTCAAGATTTCTGAAGCCATTATGAACATGCAAGAGAACAGCATGCAGGTGTCAGCAAAGGTATTGTGCAAGTCACTTGTTATCCAATCTTGAATGTTGCAGCCAGGAAAAAAATAGCAAGGCTGTCTGCTAGCCTCTGTCTATGAAGGACTGACCAAGCTACTTGATATTATAGTCCCTTGTCTGCGAGCACACCTGGCCTGCTCTAACTATCTTTTAAAATGCAATAGATTTTTTTTTCAAGCAAGAAGATGGCACTGCAAACAGTACCAGTTAGCTACATATTATTGGCTGCTAAAAGGATAAGACAGACAAAGTTTGTTGAGAACTTTCAGTGGTTCCTTTGTAAGAAGCAGTTGATGGAGTAACTTCCCCATGTTCCTGGTCTGTGACTTTTCTTATTAACATCTAAATGCACTTTGGTCTGTCTGGGTCAGAGTGATGGACAGCAGTTGATGCACAACATGCTGGAGGTGAATAAATGAAACATCCCATTTAACCTGCTTTTAATGGCCACTCAGGAAAAATGTAATTATGTTCTATAGCCTCTAATTATCAGACTGCAGCTTGATAGAGTTTTGTCTATATGGCATTAAACAGAGTCAACAGTACAAGTTCCCTCCTTTCCGTCTGCATGTGTTTACGCATGCACCAGTAGCTCCTCTAAAGCCATTATTATCAAGGTCCTTTGAATTCAGTAATAAGTATTGTTGAGCTGTTAGTGAACAACAGAAGACTTTTCCTTCATTTATCTTTAACAGTTCTCCTTGGTGCAGTAGCTGAAGTCAATAGTCTTGCCATCTTCTCTGTATCAAAAGACTTGCCAGTTTTCATTGATCTCCCACACTAGGGCTGTGTCCAGACTCAGGGGTTTTTTCGGGAAAAGTAGCCTTTTCCCGAAAAAACTTCCCCTGCGTCCAGACTCAAGCCGCATTCTTTCGAAATAATTTCGAAAGAACGCGGCTTTTCTTTCGATGGCGGTAAACCTCGTTTCACGAGGAAGAACGCCTTCTTTCGAAAGTTCCTCTTTCGAAAGAAGACGTTCTTCAATGTAAATAGGGCTTCCTCGAAAGAGAGCATCCAGACTCGCTGGGTGCTCTCTTTCGAAAAAGCAGATTGCTCTTTCGAAAGATCCGCCTGCAGTCTAGACGTGATCTTTCGAAAGAGGCTCTTTCAAAAGATGCTTTCAAAAGAGCCTCTTTCGAAAGAAGCCTGCAGTCTAGACATAGCCTAGGGTATTCATGTCTGCTAAGCACTGCCACGACTGCTATCTGATTCAGTGTTTTTTTCATTTTTCAGAAAACAACTACTGCAAACTGGAAGTTGGGGGAGGGAGAAGTGTAGCTCCCCCTCTCCACCTGGTTACCTTCTTTAATGCCAATCTGCTTATAGGTTTTGATGGATAGGTCTGGGCTCTTCTGGATCCCGCCACCCACTCATCTTTATTTTTTCCAATGGATTTATTTGGCGGTGCCTCCACCCCCCTCACCAGGGCAGCTTGGGAGGAAAATTCTAACCCGGGGGAATTCCCACGTACTTGCCAGATAGTTGGAGACTCCCAGAAAATAGCACAAACACATACACTATAATAAACACAATTATATTAAAAAGGAGACAAATATAACATAACAGGATAAAACACTATTTTTAGGGTCACCGGTGCCCAGCAACTGTAAGATTAGTGTTCCATTGGTACGCGTACTTTGTTGGGTCCCTTGATGACCTATGACCACAAATTTCTTCTCTGCAGTCGTTTAACAGTGAGGCTGACTGAGTCCAGTACAGCCCAAAGGACTCACAATCGGTAAATCCCTCCATAAGTTTAATATGCAGCAGGTTATAAAATCATCAAACAAATTCCCTGACTTACTAACTAAAAGATGGTGCACTCCACACTCCTTGAATGAGGCTCAGGTTCAGAGATGACTCAGTCACTGCAGAGGGGCTGGTCTCTTCTGGCAGGGATCCTCCTTAGGCAGGAATCAGGCTGCTTTGGTCCCAGGATTTCCCCTCACCACAAAGGGGTGCAGGGCTCAAGGTGCAGATTACATAACTGTACTAAAATCCAAGCTGTAGTCTCCTACCCCAGCATTCAGACACACACACAGCAGGCAGCAGCCCGGAACCAGCAGATAGAGCAGAGCTGACCATGCACTGACTGGTCTCACCCAGGGAGCCAGAGAGCCAACTCAGCCTGGCTGGGGAAGCCTCCCAGCATACTCCACAAACTGGGAATCAACAGTGGAGACATAAAACCCAGCTGAGGGATCCTGCCTTCAGGTCCCTAAAGGCCAGTTCTCAGGGAGTACCCTGCATGCAGGCCTGGGGCTTACTAGCTCCCACACAGCCAGCCCTCCCCTTGCCCTGGCTGGCTCCAGACCTCTCCAACAATGGCTCCTCCTTCCCCCTTCCCCGAACTCTCCGGGAGGGGCCTCTCACTCCCTATGGGCTGCCTGGCAGACTCTGTCTCTGGTAGGGTGGGGGAGCCGAGGCAAACTCGGTGTGCCTCTCCCTGAGCTGCCAGCAGAGAGAGCCCTAGGAATCTAGGTAATATCCTTGGGGGTTACAGAAGGTTTGACATTAATGTTTGTTTTTAGAAGCCCAAAATCCTGCCAGTCCTGTAAGGAGCCAAGCATTTCAACTCTCAGTGACAGTGTTTGGATTTTACACCCTTTTCCTGCAATGGTGATCTGAGAGCTCACCACACACACAGAGAATCAAACCACATTCTCTCATCTGTTGTGAGATTTACAGTCTGACTTTGCAGCATACCCCACCCTTAAACCAAAAAAGAAGCTAAACGTTTCCTTAAAAGAAAAGTTTTTTCATTGGAAACTCACCCAGTTTATGTTCTAGTATATTTAATTTTCATTTTTGCATATCAGAGCAAGCAGTGGTGTTTGGTTGGGGGGCAGGGTTGGCCAGGAAGAAGGCCTTTCTACATAGATCAATGATATCACCACTCTGTGGCATGCACTCAAGTCCCTTCTCATTTGCAGCACTATAGATTCTTTATCCTTTCATTGGAAAAATTTTGAACTGCTATAATGGTTAGTCAATCATGGAAACATTCCATTTGCACTGTAAAACTCATTTTTTGCGGGGAAGTCTTCCTAAAATCCTAAGCTATGGAAGCTATTTACAGCAGTAAAATTAACCTTATTGTTCTTTTGTAGGTGATAGGTAACTACTCTTGCTTGAAAGTATTTTACTGATTATATATCAATATCCTCCTGAGATACAGCTCCCTCGCCTTTCCAGCTTTAATCTATGCCTTTAGATCATGGCTCTCCAATAAGTCAGACCTAGTGTAAGTAACCCATGACATGTTCACCATAAGAAAAAGAGCTTGGGGCCTTGGAGTGTTTGGTTCAATGGGATGATCTCTTGGAAATTCTTTACTATTCATCTACTCTGAACATTAATGACATGCCTCATGCCAGTGTCATGAATGTCAATGATTCCAAACAAGAGGATAATCAGATGTTGTCAACCAGGGGACTGATATGCATGGCATATCATTTACAACTTTTCCCTTCATTCACAACCGGATCTTCTTAGCTAATGTGCAGTATGCCTCAGGTGGCATGCAACTAGGATTCATCAGCAAATTTGGTCCACTGGCTGGATCATTAGCTATATTGACAGGCAGTGTGACATAAACGCTGATCCTTGTCTCTCTCTCCACAACTAGATTATAACATTCATCTTTTGCTTGTAAAAATAAGAAGTGTGTACCTAATATACCTATGCATGCCACCTTCTGAGCCATGGCTAGGCCTGGATACTATATATTAGTGGTTTTGGAATCAGTTCTCTATTGTGTAAATTTTTCCATTAATGGC